GAAGTAAAATTCCTTTACGATGTGGGAGAGGGCAAGATAAGGTTATAAGCATTCGTATCCCATCACTAGTAGGTAAGGTCATTTTCAGGCACCGTCCAAGGAAAGCACATCTGGTACACATTGGATATTAGATTGGGTGGACCTCAGAAGCGGATTGGACGTTCTAGTGCAGTGATATTCAACCTGGGGTACGCGAAGACATCTTAGGGGGTAACTGTTCTAGTGAACTGACCTACGTTGTCCGACTGGCTTGTATTAGAAGCGTTACAGGTGGGAGAAACCTGTGCGTATTTTGTGTTTCATGATTTATTTGTTCTCGGAATCCAGAAATAAGTGTGGTAAATCAGTGTCACTTGAATCTACCAATTCCACGCAAGAATTCGGCATCACTGTGAACACACCGAGAGCGGAGACGAGGCTTGATTGATGGTTAGAGGTTCCTTGCCTGATATCCATCTTCCTTCCTGCTACAATTATGCGGCTGGAGGAAACTGAATACCGGCTGAGATAACACTTCACGTCTGTCCGTTAATACAAATTCTGAACTTTGCTACATCGCTTTTCCTTGACGTTCAACGTTGTACTTCATAGATCAAACGTCTGAAGCGAAATAAGAACGAATGTCTTTAACAGCATGATTTATCGTAAAAGTGTGATGAATTATGTTAAATGATTACGAATTTAGTGATTTATATTTCTCAGCTAGTATTATTATGATAGATACACCAGGAAGAATAACATTCACTGTGAAGAGGTTCATGATTTATACTCTTCATTAAATATAGAACAGGGTGCGATAGGCGATGCTCATAGCACGCATGGGACAGCTGGTAAACGTACACATAATTTTATTTTTAAAATATGGAAGAAAGAGACAAATTGGGAGAATAATGAGGAGATGAGGTGATATTAAAATATATTTAAAAATAAATAGGATTTCACGATGTGAGGTGGATTAATCTGGATCAGGAGAGGGACCACTGGTGGGCTACTGTAAACATGATAATGAATCTTGTCTGTCAGTGTTTCAAGAAGACAGATAATTTCTGGACAAATGGAATATGAGGTCTGATGGACAGGAAAGAGTCCAGTTTTACGAGCGTTGCTGTCACTTAAACCGCTTGTTTACTCTGTACTACCCTGATCATCAATGAGTTTCATTCATGAAGTGAACGTCATGAACACATTCTGCACGCATCCAGGAATCTGTGATGAGTAAGTGTGGATTATCTGGCTTTGTAATGCTTCATACTATATTACTTTATTCCTATATATGCAACAACATCCAAGTGCCATTTGAAAACACCCGTCGTTGTTATGGTAACAAAGGTCGACCCTGATCAGGTGACAGTCTTTGCCATGAGTTAACGATGAAAACCTAAGATACATCAACATGTTTTCTTAAATTTTAAGCCTGTTTAACCCTTAAGATCTCAGATATAAAAATATGTACCATCTGATTTAACACTGAATGTTCCTGGGTTTCTTATAATTCTAAAACATTATTATTATTAAATTATTTATTTCCTTAAAGAACGTAAACTAACTGATCTTTGTAATGGATATGTTTTGTGTTTATATTTGAGGTAATAAGTAAACGTTGAAACACTATTTAGATGATCTTTGACTTTAAGGTGTTAAGCCAAGTGTATAAAAATAATCTCAGAGATAGTAAGGTAACTTACGTATTTTTGGTCAGTTTTTAAATTCTCGTATGAGTTGTAGAAAAATAATTCGGAAAATAAAAATATGAATGTACAAGTCAATATGACGATACATGTCAGTGGAGATACAGCGACATATTCATTGCCGTGAGAATCTGAAATACAGTAAAACCCCTCAAGTTGGACACCCCTATATCCTGGACACCCCTCTATATTGGACACTTTTAATTGGAACCGGAGAATATCCTATAATTTTACATATCCACAATACCCTATATCTGGGACACCCCTTTATCCTGGAACTTGGTCACCCCTTTCATTGTAAGTTGGACAGGTGCATGCATGCACTTAGCTTCAATGCTTTTATGGGAAACGTTTACAGTTAGTATTTAAGTGTATAGTTATTATTTTGTTGAACCCTTTACTATACTACAGCATGTATTTCTGGTACAGTTTTAACTTTGTCAGTACAATGCTTTCAACTGAGTTAAACAGTGTTAACAGAAATTGGAATTGTATGCTTTCGCTCATAATCAACCAGGAATGGTTGAAACTTTATTCGGATTGCGGCGAAAATTAGAAAGAGGATGGCAAATTCCAAGATAAAAACAAAAAAGTAGTGTCCTGTGACGGACTTTTTTACAAGAAATAAGTGACATCATATGTTGAGCTAATGTCGTAAGTACAATTAAAAAAAATACATTCTGAATATTTAAAATTTTATTGAGGCTGGGGTGTAATGTGCAACCATGAGAGTGGGTTTCAAAAGATTATTATTAATGTCATTAATTCTTAATTCGAGCAAGCCTACAGTAGTTAGATTATGTAAGTAAATAAGTTACACTGTCGGCAAACGTAAAGTATCGGTGCCCTTTCCTTTGAGCTTATCCATGCAAGTTTAATTTAGTGAAAATAAAACTTGTAAAAAATTATTTTACCCTTTTGATTCTTCTTATGAATAATTTCCTTTTTGGGAAGTGCTCCATAATACTCTACAATTACCACATTGTCATTACATCACAATATGAAAGGATATTTTCCCCTTTCCCTCTATCCTGGACACCTCTGTAAGTTGGACACATTATCGTGGAACTGCAAGTGTCCAAGTTAGAGAGGTTTTACTGTATTACAAATTATTAATAGATTCTTATGAATACTCGCAGGCTTATAAAGTATATACGAGTTATGAAATGAATTTATACACCCAATAACAAGTTGATTACTTGGCGAGATTTTAGTTTCTCACGGCGGCTGGTAAAGATGGCTGTCTTCTGGGTTTTTG